TAGGTTGGGTTGGGTTAAAACTTTTTTGTTTGTTGTCGAAACATAGCGATGTTGGTACTCATTTTACGTGATTTTTTGCGTAGATTAAGAAGGTATTAATAAAAATAATGTTAAAACTCGTTTATTTTTTTCGTTGTTGTTTTGATTATTTTTAACAAATAACATTTTTTGCGTAGATTAAGAAGGTATTAATAAAAATAATGTTAAAACTCGTTTATTTTTTTCGTTGTTGTTTTGATTATTTTTAACAAATAACATAATATACTTAACTTTTTTTATATTTGTGGTTATGTTTCACACTTCTGGATCAATCCAGGAGCGTTCAATTGAACGAGTGCTTTTAAAAGGACGGTAGGATTATATGCTACTATGCGTTTTTTTGCAGGCATTGGAAAGAGCCACTAACCACAACTCTTGGAAGAATTGGAGAATGACTCTACGCCGGACTTTCCTACAGACATTATAATTTTTCCACCCGAAAATGCCCACGAAAACTGTGATACCGATGAAGATTCTGGGGCTGAAGACGATGTAGTTCCAAACAATTTACCCGGAGTGCAACTAAGGGCCCCGGCAGAAATCGAAGTTGACGTGGTAGGTGATGACGACGCGGACAGTGATGACGATCTTCCACTGTCCACTTTTGTTGAAAGGCGACCTAAACACATAAAGACGTTTGACTATAGACTCAATGAAGATTTAGATTCTACGTTCATGCAATGGCAACCAGTTCAGACAGCAAAAAGCAATCGTTCGCCTGGAAATATTTTCAAGCTGTTTTTTGATGAAAACTTGGTAGGAGAAATTGTCAATTTTACCAATATTTATGCTCAACAAAAAAACCGCCCCGGTAACGTTACTGTAGACGAGATGTACTGCTTCATAGGGGTGTTACTTGTCAGTGGATATATAACTGTTCCAAGGCGACATATGTATTGGCAAAATTGCAACGATACCCAGAATAAACTTATATCAGCCGCTATTTTCAGAGACAGATTTCAATTTATAATGAGTAATCTTCATTGCAATGATAATACTTCCCTTGATAAAAATGACAAGTACTCTAAGCTGCGTCCTCTTTTCAACAGCCTAAATAAAAAGTTTTTTGATTATGCCCCAGTTGAAGAGAATCACAGCTTTGATGAGGCTATGATACCGTATTTTGGGAGACATAGCGGTAAGCAATTTATAAGAGGCAAGCCTATAAGGTGGGGGTATAAATTTTGGGTAGGTACCCTACGCCTTGGATATATTGTTTATTTTGATCCCTACCAAGGTGCGTCGACAACAATTCCGGACAAATATAAACACATGGGTTTGGGAGCGTCAGTTGTTCTCCAATATGCAGATGTTTTACAGAAAATGCCTTACCAGCCCTTTCACTTATTTTTTGACAATTTTTTTACATCTTTGTCACTTCTAAAAGAGCTAAAATTGAGGAACATCAAGGCAACTGGTACTATACGTGAAAACCGGATCCCTCAATCTCCATTTAGCAATGCTAAAGTTCTGAAGAAAAAGACTCGAGGTACATTTGAATGGGGTGTTGCCGATAATGAGATCGCTTTATGCAAATGGAACGACAACAGCGTTGTTACTTTAGGCACCAATGCATGTTCAGTTTTGCCAGTAAATAAGGTAAAACGATTTTCACAGGCTGAAAAAAAGCATGTTTATATAGATCAGCCACAATTGATCAAGGCATACAACGAAAATATGGGAGGTGTAGACCGTAGTGACCAAAACATAAGCCAATATAGAGTTTCAATACGAGGTAAAAAGTGGTATTTCCCGTTATTTTTTCACTGTGTCGACATGGCCTCACAAAACTCATGGCATCTCCATAGAAATGATGGTGGTACCCTAGACCAACTTCAGTTTAGGAGGGACCTAGGGACACAGCTGCTCGAAACATACAGGAAAACAACTAAGAAAGGACCTTCGAAATTGCCAAAAACCGCGCACCAATTCTCACGTTATGATAGACTAGATCATTTAGTTACATATCAAGAGAGTCAGCGAAAATGTGCTGTGTGCCACAAAAAAGCAAATTTTGTATGCCAAAAATGTGACGTTACTCTCCATCCAAAAAACTGTTTTGTGACCTATCATACTAATTAGTTTTTAAGTATTTAAGTGAGTTGTATTTTGCTATAAGCATTTTGTAAAATATATAAACATATTTTCAAATATTTATTTATTTATCGAATAGTAGCCCTTTATCCTACCGTCCTTTTAAAAGGACCACTGTTTTTTTTAATACTTCAAATTTTTTTATGATTTTTTCTCGACTTATGGGACCTTCTATTAACCCTTTTTAAGAAAAAAATATACAAAATTGGAAAAAAATAGTTTTAGGGTCAAATGGGTTAAAGCAATTTAGGGAACTTTATGAAGTAGTCAAGCAAATTTATAGTAATATTTGAAAAGAGCCACAGGATAGGCGCTTAGATTTAGATAGGGTTAATAAATGGGTTTTAGAAGTAGGAATTTTAGAAAATCAGTCAGAAAAATTAAAGAAAAATTAAAAAGTGATTTCAATTCAGACGAAAGCGATACAAAAGAAATAGATGACGTAGCTTGTTAAGTTAGGGAAATCGGGAAAAATTTATATCAATCTCGAAAAAAACTTAACGAAAGGCTGAAGATAATTTGTGACCAAAAAGGAACTAATAGTAGTATCGAACATCTTACAACCATAAACATGGGGGAAAAATTTTATTAATTTTATTTAAAGCAATGAACAAAAGGCCCCTCGAAAACGGGGATGCATTCCCCCAAAAAAAAAAATAATAAGGAGGAAGAAGATGTGAATAGGGACGAGAAGCGAAGAATACATCAGCGAGGAAATGCAGAGGGACTTCCTGGAACTGGAATCATACGGAGATCACCTCAATATAATGTTGTTTTTTTTAGACCAGGCACTTATGTGCACGGAAGCGTACAGGTGTAACTTTATAATTTTTGTTATGCAGTAATTTATTTAATTTAATTTAAAAATGGTACATGTTTTATGACATCTTAAAATAAGGAAAGATAATGCCTTTTATGTAAAAATTAAAACATTTACCTTACGTAAATTTTTTTTATTTTAATCCCAAACTTATTATCTCATTTAAGCACAGATAAATACATTCGTACCTATGTATGTGTTTAAGTTGAAAATTAATAAATTGTTGATTTTTGCTTATTTCGGTGATTTTTGTCATTTTTTGTTGATTTGGCTCATTTCAGTTGAGTTTTGCTCATTTTAGTTGGGTTAGTAAAGATGGCGCAAGGTGATACAGACGATTCCGACGATGGGTCTCAAAAAAGTGTTTATCCACTCCTACATTGACGAGCTGTAAGTTTATGGCGTTTTATTGACGGGCTGAAGTTAACAACAGTGGCTTTTCGACATTTTACGTCACGGGCTGAAGTTAGCTTTATTATAAATTGGGAAAAAGTGAGGTTAAATTCGGGTGACAGTTGACAGATGTCAAAATTTTAACAAATAAAATTGGCTTTAAATTCTGTTTTGTGTTCGTCGTAGATAAAGAATAGTATGCAACTCGTTTATAAACTTCTCTAGACACTCGTTTTTATTAAACACTCGCTCGCAAGCTTCGCTCGTGCTTAATTAAACTCGTAACTAAAATGGCGTTTATAAAACTTGATACATAATATACTATAAAACTAACAATAAATGTAATTTCTGCAGGTCAAATTATACAACGAACATTAAGTGTGGTTCATGTGAAACAAAAATTCATAAAAAGTGCTTCGAATTAATTACTAAATATATAAATCTGGATAAAAATACCTGGCTATGTAAAGTGTGCAAAAGTGGAGATGATTTACATAATGAAGTAAATATTGATAAAACCAAGAAACCCGAGGAACAAACTGAATTAAACCGTGAGTTAAACTTATTAAACAAGCTAATAGTCCGAGAGCCAGCGACAAAAAACTCGATGATCGTATTCCGGCTGAAAAAAATTCAGAATACTCGAAAAAGTTTGTACATGACACATTTCGGTGCCTGGCAGCTCAAAGCGGTTGCGTTTTTTAAATAAAAAATTTTTATTGGTTAATTTTTGACACAATATCCGTACAATCGTATTCCGATTGAAAATTTGAGAAAACGTTGGAAAAACATTCTACATTATGCATTCGGGTGCCTGCCAACGAAAATCGGTTGCCAAGTCCCGCCTGCCAATTAAAAAAGTGTCAATTTTTTTTTCAAAATCCGGATTATCGCGTTCCGCTTGAAAATTTAATAGAATGTAATTGAAGGCATGACAAAATCATTTTTAAGTGCCTGCCAGCCTCCAAAGTGAGCGCTGCATCGCCGTCCGGCCTCAGCGGTCGCTGGTGGCTCGATGCACTTTGTCGGGCTTTTATGCATGCGATGTATAGTCATATTTACTTTTTTATTGAGAAAAATATGAAAAAAATTTGGAAAAAGTTCGGTCTTTGAATTCTACCCCCACTAGTCAAAAGAGCGCATGTATTGTTGAATACATGCGCTTTAATACATTTAATCGTCTTAGAATTTTGCAAACTACAAACTCCGAAAATATTAACTGTTGACTTTGGGACACCCTGTATAGTTGACTTTGGGACACCCTGTATATAGTCCCCGCCCGGGGACCGCTATTCATTCGGTTTTTTCTGAGAATAGCTAGCAGCTGCTGCCTCGACAATGAAATCGACCATGTCGACACCTTTTTTTCTCAGTCGTAGCTCGTGCTTCAAACGTAATATTCGTTCATTTCGAAATGAGCGACGCTGCGAAATTTTGTGTTTTTTGTGGGCAAAGCACAAAGATCATTAATTTGTTCACATTATCCAATTTGGAGACATGTCATGTCAAATGCAATTATGCAAAATGAATGTATTCTACGGAAATTGATAACATAAAATACGACAAGAAATTCTGATGTCAAGTTTTATTCAAAATATTTTTAGTTGAGTACCATTTATTTGTTTGAATATAAACTTTCAGTGTTGATGATACAATGACACAAGACATGTGCTCTGAGGAAGAGTCTCCAGGATCAGAAATTGAGGACAATGGAGAAACAGAGAACGTCTGTATCATTTGCAAAAAATCAAGGGTCACTGTCAACAAAAAAACAGTTTCACTCGTGACAAGCTCCGATCAAGCCTTATTGGGACAACTCGAGGAAGCTGCTGAATTTGTTGGTGATGAGGAAACGCGACTGAATACTCTTTGTTATCGTGATCAAAAGAGCTTCACATACCATAAACGCTGCAAGTCATCAATTCTCTACAGGAAAGAGCAAATGCAACGTGAGTTTCAACAGAAAGATAAAGATTGGCATAAGATTCGTCTGTTCAATAAAAATGCATTTGAAGAAATATGTGCTTTCGTAAAAGAAAAAGTTGTGAAAAATAAAATGTTCTGCTATCTTGAATCACTTCGAAAATTGTATAATGACAGTATTGCAACGCAAATTCACGAATCCAATGCTACATTGAATTTTACGGACATTGAAAGTAACAAGCTTGAATTGAAATTGATGAAAGAATTGAACGGTGACATTGAAATTGGTCGTTTGTCAAAAAAAAGTTGGTCCAGCCTGTAAACACGATCATCCCCGATAATTTCCGTCCAGAAGCATTGGATAAAATTGATTTGTTACAGCGAACTGCAATTACTCTAAGAGAAGAAATTTTTTCTATTCCAAAACGAGAGCTTCCCGATGCTCTCAATGCAACTGAAATTGCTCGCGGGGAATGTTCGATTCCTGATTCTTTACAAATTTTCTACGAAACACTATTAGGTGGTGCTAATTTACGTAGGCGTTTTGTGGAGAAATGTAAAAGATTGAGTAGCTCTTTTGCTCAAGATGCTATTTTCGGAGTGACAAACGGTAAAGTAAAACCTGCCAAGCATTTGCAACTTGGAATCGCATTGAAAAGTTTGACAAGTAGTAGGAAAATCATCGATATAATGAATCTTTATGGTCATTCATGCAGTTACAATGTAGTCGAAGAGATTGAAACTGAGGCTGTGATTTCTTCGCTAGAAACAACTCAAGTTTGCCCTGAAGACATAATCAAGTCCCCGTATTTGTGTACAGGGTTAGCTTTTGACAATTTCGGTCGATTCGTTGATAGTTTGACCGGAAAAGAAACTCTACATGATACTGTTGGAATAATATACCAAGACATTCTCGAAATTTCATCGCAAAATAAAAGGGACGAATATTCCACCCCTTCGGCTGAACGTGACTGCTCAAAACGTCGCAAAAGACGACGAACATGCGACCCGGTCACCCCTGAATTGGAAGAATAATTAAGAGGCCCAGGTTCAATGAAGAACTTATTCCATTAGATGCTCTGAGTCGGAACACTGTTTCAAACTTTGATTTCTCTAGATGGCAAAAAATATATAATTTGTGGACATTGTCTCATATTGCTAATATTCCGAAAACTCCAATGTGGACGGGTTTTCAGACCCTTCTTCTCGATGATTATTTTAACATGCAAAAAGTTTCATATATGACGACTATCAATGCGTCCCCGACGAACAAATCAGTCATCATTGAAACAATGAAGCAGGCATTGCAGGTAGCGGACGAGTGTGGACAAGAATACATTCAACTAACTTACGATCTTGCGATTACAAAAATTGCTCTGCAAATTCAATCATTGGAGAGGCCTCGTTTCGATCGATTGTTCATTCATTTTGGTGCATTCCACATCGACCTTGCTTACTTCAAAGCTGTGGGAAAATATATCGAAAATTGTGGCATTACTAACATCATGATCGACAGCGGAATTATTGCAGGAGGTTCTCTGTCGGGGTTCATTTCAGGAAAACACTATAACAGGTGCAAGAGAATGCATACTATTCTGTCTCTCGTTTTACAGATTTTAAATTGGCAACAATTTTTGAAGACTTATAACATTGAAGTTTCAGAAGGTTCCGAAATTTATCGAGCTCTTTCACAAATTCGTAATTCTACGTCATCGGTCAATGATGTCCTTAAAAATAAACGAGTGCAGTGGTTGTTGGGGAAGTACCATGATTATGTCGATGATACTATGAATGGGGTCCATGGATGTACACCTCAATATTTCATGACCCAAGTCAAATTGATTAAATATCATTTCACACTGCAAACAAGCGTTAGGCGTCGAAATTACGATATGTATTTGTACATTCTTCCTTTCCTGACGAATATTTTTTTCGCTTTCAATCAGCAGAATTACGCTCGTTGGTTGACTCTTTATCAGGACAACTTTCTCCAGGTCACGCAAACTCACTCGAGGAAGAAATTCGAGCAAACGGCATTGGTGTGCGACGAACACCTAAACCACATTCGACTCAACCAATTGATTTGATTTTGGAGGAGACCATTAACCTTGATGCAGCTAATTCAATGACTGGAATTTCTCACATAACTAATTCCATTGCAGCCAGGCAAAGATGGTGCAAGAGCCATAGTTTCAGAACTTCAGTTATATCGAACATGATGCAGGATCTGTCGTTGAGGCGAAAGCAGGATGTTTCTGGTGATTTAAAGGAATCCTCGATCAAAAAAAGTCATTCTCAAATCGAAAAACTTCTGGTTGCAATCGAAGAAAACGTTAATCCTTTCAATCCGGATGTTCCGAAAAAATCTCTTTTCAACATTTCCAGTGGCGAAGCAGTGTCTGATTTGATTTACGAAAGTTTAGTAAATGTCGAAAAACAGGAAATGCGTTGCGCGAAAAATTCATTGAGAAATGTAGCTCCGATAAAACCAGATTCGAGAAACCAATAAAAAAAACTAAAGTATTGACATTCGTCGACACCCAGCCGAAAAAAAAAATTAACATCGGAGGAAAGGTTCAAGCAGTTAAAATGCAGAGAGATTTATTCGGTAGGCTTTTGGGAGTGACAGTGGATCAAAAGTTGAATCTCGATGAAGTTTTCCAGTTCCCTTTGACACCGATGCCTTTATCAATGTGTCATGTTGACGGCTCCATTCACAAAACTGATAAGTCAGTACTTTTGAAATCATTGGAATCTCAAATTACCAGCAACGAACAGGAAGATATTGACCTGGTTGTCATTGATGGATTTTTTGTTTTACACACAGTAAAAGAAATTCCAATACAATATGGTAAAATTGCAAGCAAATGTCTGAGTGTCTTTTTGAACCATAAATCAAATGGTATCGCAGTGATATTCGATTCTTATTTTAGTCCATCCATCAAAGATAACGAGCATTTGCTTCGGGATAACACCGAAGAACGTCAATTCCGAATATCAGGTCCCGAGCAAAAGCGCTGTACCGACTTTACAAAAGATTTGAAAAACATCAATTTCAAAAAGGCTCTTATTCAATTTTTCATCGAAGAATGGTCCAAAGACGAGTACGCGAGCAATTTCAAGTCAAAAATACTTTATGTCACTGCTGATGTGTGTCACAAGTTTGAAGGTTGTTTCGACAATTATCGATGAATTGTCATGTGAAAATCACGAGGAAGCTGACACTAAAATCGTGCACCATGCAACCCTCTAGGCGCTCAAAAACTTAATAAGGCAATTATTTCTGATTACTGCACAAAAATATCCGAGCTTATGGCGACATTCAAAATTAAAGAAAAGCCGCAAAATATATGTCGTCATATGGTTGTGCCTGAGCATGCTGAGAACGTCACGATTGTGGCTTGTTGTAACTCAATGAGAAACTCTATTTCACCTATGATATGGTTTTGAGAAAAAAGTCTAAAACCAGAACCCTTGTAAAAATGACACCTAAAAGCTATATGACGACGCAACTCTTCAATGACTTTCTAAGGCATTCTGCTCAGTATAAACCCAATGGACCTACACTTCTTGTATTTGATGGAACTTCCAGCCACTAACGTTTTTCTGTTTAACATCAAATACAACACATGACCCCCAGCCACTTGATAAAGCTGTATTTCGTTCATTTGGAGCAAATTGGGACCAGGAGCTTTTGAGATATTGGCATACCTACAAGGCCAGATTCAACATAATTTTATCCCGTGTTTGGCCGAAATGTATGACACCTGAAAATTTTACCGGCGGATTTAGAGGTACAGGATTATTTCCTCTAAATCCTGATGCAATACACGATGCACCTTTTGCACGTTCTGTATTAACGAAGCGAGCCATGTCTGATGAAATAATCGACAATAATAGAGACGCCGAAAGAACAAATAAAAGTCTTCCAACTGCAGACGGTGAGATTTCTTCAGACGATGATGTTTCGTTGGCAGCTTTAGCTGCTATTCCTCAACAATCTTCTCCAGGTAGAGTGAATAAGTCTTTTAAGCATCAGCACATCCTTCAAAAGCTTTAAATTATAAAGCTCAGCAAGTAACAAAAGACCTTTTCCCTGAGAGTCATGGAGTCTTTATCTCCCAAACTTCCAGTTCCATCAACTGTTTAACAGCAAAGCGCCATCCCACACTCTACATCCAAGAAGGAGTCTTGCTTATGTAAAGCTTGTTAAACAGAGGACCAACTTGACATGCGATTACATTAAGGTGGGCCATATTTGCCTCCCCTACCTTAGTACTAATTTTTTTTATTTTCATTCCAGGCGCGGGAACGACATGAACAGGCACTTTCGAGGATTCAGCCTTCTAGCAGTCTACCATCACTATCGACAATGTTAAAAATGAAAGAAATCGCTAACTTATATGGCTTCTTATTAGGTTATTTATTTTTATGCCCATACATTAAACTTAATTGTTTAAAGCGCCCTAAATTTGGACCTTATCAAAGAGCTTATAGACAAGGTTAAAAGAATAGTTGGGCATTTCAAAAGAAGCCCCACTGCAACTTAAAAATTAATTAAAATGCCGGAGTTAAGAATTCTTTGAAACTTCTCCAAGATGGTGGAATTCCACTTTTTACACGCTGCAGCGATTCGCCAAGCTTAAGTAAGCAGTAAGATCTACAGTAGCTCTATTAGATGTTAAATTACCATACATCAGTGTCAAAGAGTCCTAAATACTCCGGGATTTGCAAAAGATTTTGGGACCATTTGAGGAAGCTACTCGGGCAGTCAGCGGTCAACAATATATGACTGCGCCATTTATTGTTATTACTAATGAGCATTTGGATATTTGTAAAGAAGTTCAAATCTTTAACATCCAGAGCCATAATAGTCCAAAGATACATGGATGAAAATTTAATAGAAAGTAAAAAGATGAAGAAGCTACTGTGTTAGCGAAACAATTGTCAAAATAAAATTGAAATAAATTCTTGAAACTCAAAAAACAATGTTTGTTTTTATCTAGTTATACATTAAAAAAGACCCGTTATTATGGCGGTTGGAAAACAAATTTGTTTACCCAACTCTTTTTCTTTTGGTAAAACACAACCCTATTGTCAATATCCTAGCCAGTACGGCACAACTAGCTCGGGGACTTTTAGCTTGTCCATCATTCCAGTCTTAGTCCAAAGATTCTTTGGCAAAGAAGTACAACTAGCCACATATCAAGTACAAATATCCAAATTTAAATAGGGATATTTATTACAAGATAAAGAGTGTAGCAAGTACCAAATTTAACGGTATGGTCTCCTTACAAAGCATTCATCTGTTATACATGAAAACAATTTATATTTAAACGGTATAAATTTTTAACAAATACACAAACGTATTAGTGTACTAGGATAAACCTACTTTTGGAATACATACGAATGTATGAACATAATATTTATTACAATATTAGATTAGTGTTAACAAGAAAGTTAGGAACTTAAGCGTCCCCAGAAACATTGGGTTACTAGGCCTTTAGTAATGTTTGTCAATAACCTAGCCAGTTCGGCACGACTAGCCCGGGGACTTTTAGCTTAGCTGATACTAATCCCAAAATGTGCTATATATTTAGTAATATTTTTATATTTCCATTCGTAGCCCAAAGAAATTCATATAGCCACACAAGTAAAAATATATTAATAAAAATATGGATATATATTTAAAGATGAAGAGTGTAACAAGTACCAAATTTAACGGTATGGTCTTATTACAAAGCATTTGTAATATGTTATAAAATATATATTCAAATGGTATGTATTTCTAACAAATACACAAACGTATTAGTGTACTAGGATAAACCTACTTTTAGAAAACATACGAATGCATGAATATAATATTCATTACAAGTTTTAATATTAGATTGGTAATAGCAAGAAAGTTGAGTACTCAAGAGTCACCAGAAACATTGTGTTGCTAGGTCTAATATAATATAATGATTGTCAATTGCCAGTTCTGAACGAATAGCCCGAGGATTTTTTAGGACAGTTTAAAGTAAAATTCAAATCTAGGATTATACGGCATATACACGTATACACGTCACTTATCAATGATGAGGTGTCGCCAAAAAAATATTAACATGAATTGGCCCTGACAAAAATGAAACTGCAGTATTCTTTTTTGACAGTACATATATGTAGTATAGTGTCTATAATGTTTTTATTTGAAGAGAACACTTTAAATTAATAAATATTTTGCTAGTATTCGCATGTAATTGTGTACTAATATAGAGACAGATCTATAATAACTAAGATGACCAAAGGGTTGAAAAATGTAACGGATAAAATAATATTTTAAATATACCCACTTACATCTTAGTGCATTAGGATCAACCTAAAATCATAAAAAATGCATTTGTTTTTATTTTTATTATTTAAAAATTAATTAATAACAAGTTTAAAAAAAATAATATTTAACATTAAAATTTTTTATTATGTATCAATTAATATGAATAACAAAAACACGTTTATTATTTTTAATATGGCTGAAAAAAGTTTATTGTGAAGTATATGTTAAAAAAGTATATACAAATAAAAAATATATCCAAATTCTTATCACACGCTAAAAAAAAAATAAATTTCGTTTTATAATAACCTGTAACTCAGAACAAAGCATTTCAGCTTTTCCTATTATTTGGTCGTTAAGTTATAAAAACAATATTTCATAAATTAAATTCGTCAATAAATTTTTGCCACGTTTATCCTAAATACCCAATACACAAATTTAATATAATTGAAATAAACTTTCTACGCAGAAAATATTAATGCAAACTTTATTTCTTTTAATATGGTTTGCTTGTATTAAAATAATGCTAAAAAGGACCTACCCCAAAATGTAAAAGAATTCAAAAATATGGAAACAGAATAAATAAAAAAGCTGCAGCCAGATGAAGTTAACGTCGTTGGCTGATGTATTTCCTTAAAGTTTGTGTCAAAAAATCTAAACTTATTTGAACCTAAAAATAATTATACCCTATTCGTGGTGAGATATATATATATTCGGTACATCATTTATGTAATAAAATAAATATCTTATATCTATACATTATAATATACCCTGCATATATATTTTATATTGTAAGAGTTTAATTTTAAATAACAAAAAAAATACTTTTCGCTCACATACGCGGCAGTTAACTTTATCGGGAGCGGGTGGGGGTACAGATGGTAAATATTAATTATTCTTGGCGCCAGCCAAAAGTAATCTTTTGACAAGGGAAATTTTCTTTTAACAATAAAAAAAATATTTAATAAATTTAAAGTAACAAAAATCTACTTTCTTTATTTGCAATAGAAAAATAACCTCAATTTTTTAAAAAATCCAGTGGAATAGTTAGAACGATCTTGAATTTCATTTTGGACTGTAGGTCCCAATAATACCAAGTTTTATGTCAACCAAACAAAATACAATTAAAAAACCAAATACATAAATACCTTGCACATGTGAGTAGCTTAGTAAATAAATTACTAAAAACTCATGTTCAGTATTAAATTTCTAGCAGCAGCAGCAATTATAGCCCTGATATGTGTGCTTCACAAGAAAATAACAGCACGGCGTTTTTCAGTAAGTAATTATCCAAAAATGTTAGAGTAATCATAACCTCCAAATATTTTCCAGTATTAAAATCTAGCCACCAGCCAATATATGCTTGCTAATATAACATAGTCGAGGCATACACAAAATCTAAAAAACTTAACCAATTTAAGCTAAAAATGCCTGAAAAGAAAAACACCGTTGCTCATAAAATACAGGAAAACTCACCAAAGTACATAATGAAAATATTGTTTACTATAGATATTAGATGTCCTTAACGTGATTATAACGACCAAATTGATGATTTTCAATCAATGATGCTCGAATATATTGCGTTAATTTTGGCTATCCCTTTATTAACTGCAACCGAGTCTCGAGCACATAAATCACAATGGCCTCTTTTCCCGGAAATTCGCTGTCAAAGGATTTACTCAATCTCATCTGATTGGCCGACAAATATTTATAAAAAACTCAAATATGGTAAGTTACCTTTACTAATTAATTACTTAAATACGATACCTAATAGCTTTTTCCTGTATTTTGCAGCTCAACAGAGGTTCCCAAATCGATTTATTTAATATACTTTGTAGATTTATGATAACTATAGGAATAAACATTGTTTATAACCTCAAAG